TTCATGCAATATTTTTTTTAATCACTATATCGAAAATTAAGGGATATACATAAAAAGAAAAAATACTCAACTTTGGGAAATTTAACCCGCTAATTAATTAATTAAAGATAATCAGCTGAAAATTAATTATATACCCTGTTCACTTAAAATAAATATTCAAATCGTTTAAGGTCTTCATTTACATACAAAAAAATAAGACACTTACATTTTGACATTAACTATTTTTTCGGAACAAAAATGACAATTTTCGCAATGCGCTGAAAACGCTATTTCTGCTGTAAAACTATGCACCTTCCCCGCTAAAATACTCATCATAAAAACCGTGCTACCATATATCTTGGAAAAGTGGATTTAAAAGGATATTCCTGCTAAGTATCGTCAGAGTATCCGTAAAAATAGTTATTCTGTGTAATTTAAAGTGAGTGGTATTTATAAGTACCGTCGGTAGATAAAGGGTTAAGAAAGCAGTGCTTTATACATATATTTTGAGAGACCTCTAATAATATTTAAAAATTTAATTTAGATTAAGAGCATGTTATTTTATTAATTGTGCATGAGAGTCATTGTTGATTTAGAATATGAAATGTATCCAAGAAATTATAACTATTTAAGTTAGACTAATATAACACTTGTTCTTGTACGTCCTGTACTTGTCTTTTTGAAAAGCGATGCATGAAAATGTGATTTTGTAGAACTAAATACGCTTGGAATTATTACATGAAAATAAGTTTCAACGAAAGATTTTAAAAATTAGAAAAACTTATAAAAAAAAGGAACAGAAAGAGAATTGAATACAGAAAGAATACGTAGTTGAATACAGAAAGAGAATACTATTTAGATTCTTCTAAAATTATTCAAGCTTTATGCCTATACCATAAAAGACGGCTCTTATGTTTTAAATTTTTAGATAAGATAGAAGAAAAGAAAAGAATTTATCAAAATATATTATTGGTTATAGTATGACTGTTATAGACATAAACCACAATTATCATCGGAATTTAATGAATAATTAGAATTTCCATTCTTCAGATTTTCAAAAAATATAATACGATTGAAATAAAAAATTAAAAAAATTAAATAGATTGTTATTTAACTGTGTGAATTAAAAATATATTTATTTAAAACTGTAATCTGCTTTTTGATGCTAATGAGATCTAAATTCAACCGTAGATTCATAATGAGTTTTGGGGTAATTTTACAAGGCTTCACAGTTGAAGGTTGTTAGGCTATGCGGAACTTTTACCGGAATGGATTTTACAAGCTTAAACGAGATTCTAAGTTTACCACTGTGTGTGTGTAGCCAAATTCCACAAACTTGATTAGAAGTAGTGCAATGCCAGTTAACGAACCGTGTTCCATTAGAATCCGACTCGGCTTCAAAGCGAGTAAAGTAGTGTTCAAACAATTTTGACAACTGTGTACTTAGTCGTTTTCATATACATAGTGCATAGTTACAATATATTTAATGACTTCTTTTGTATATAATTCGTTTTTGTGGCTCAGTTAAATTTTATGTCTATAAGATTTGTGTGACTCTAAGTATATTGAAGCAATTCTTTGTCTTAATATTCCATTTATGATAATTAACTAAGTATGTTCATCTTTTTCTTTAACTAATTATAATTAATGCCTTAAATAGCCTTAAAATTTTTATTTCAACCAACAACATACGCTGTTGTATTAATTTATATTAAAATACAACGTTGATGTTTCATTTTTTTAAAAAGAGAGAATATTTTATGAAATAATTGTTGAATTGTTATGCTTAGCACAATGTATTTCAGATAATTATACATACCGTAAAATTCGGCGTATAACACGTACATATACTTTCACGTTACATTTTTTAATTTTTAGGTATATTCGCCGTTTTACGCGCACCCCCTTTTTTAAGAAGGAACTTATAATGTACGTGTGCAATGCTATTATGTTTTGAAATCATTTATTCGAGGCATTATCCCAGGATTTTAAAAATTCGTGTACTTCCAGAACTACAACTCTCTCCTTATTTTCTTTTAAATAAACAGTATTCCAGTCTATGTAAAAGTAATTTTTTTAATACTCATATCTTCTTTTTTTATTTTTGGAGCTATTATATTTACTCCTGGCGTATAAAGCCTATAAATTTCGATCTTATTTTTGGTGCTAAAAGTGCAAGTTATACACGGGATTTTACGATATACACTTAGTTGTTTCTATGACTCTATGAAGCTCAATGTACAAGCCTTCTTATAATAATTAACTCCCTTAAATATATTCCATAAAACCTCTTAAGTACAAAATTAATTTATCTCACCATTAATTGCATGTGATACCTTTTAGGAGCTCACATCTATATATATATACGTATATATAATCACCATCCCTAATTTAGATTGCTCAAAATAACCAGATATTTTAACAAAAATTGATGTTGATTGCTATCTAAAGCATTGAATTTCTTAATCTTTAAGCAGGAAAATAAAAAAAAAAACTTTCTTGTAAATTTTTATGAAATGTTAAAAAAAAGTAAGAAAATTATATTATTAAAATATAATAAATGAATAAATGGAAAAGTGGTTGACTTTCATGCTTGTTAACTTGAAAATTAATAACAATGGTACAGTAAGTGTATATTAATAAATAATTATAAATTACATTAATGATACAGACATTAGATACGTGAATAGTTGATATTTTATAAAGATTTTTTTTTGCAACTAGGATAAACAACAGCAATAACAACATCTCGAAGTTATATAAGACAATTTCTGAGAATATTTAAAATTTTCTCATTTATTTTGAATATTTTGTACACACTTTGTACTTTTAAATATCTTATTGGACCATCAAACTGACAAAAAATTTCTCTTATATTTCAGTAAAAATTATACTCTACAGTTTACAGAGCTATTTTTTTTAAAAATTTGTAATAAATCCTTTCAATTTGTCTGGTGAGATTTGAAGTTTTACTCGTGTACATTTTATTATACTACGTGTCTGCTGTTATTTTTTCTTCCTTTCGATGTGTATGCAGCTGCTTTGTTCAGTTTATGCAACAGCTATCTCTAAGCAATGAAACATAATATTTATTTTTTCAAACGTGGTTTTTACAAGAAGTATTGCTGTAAAGGAAATGCAGTTCCCAAGAAGTTAACTGTAGTGTTAAGATAAATGCGAGTCTGTGATAAAATACATATTTGTAAGACCTACAAACGTAAACAATTTTTTAAAAAGTTTGCTTAATTGTCTTTAATTTCTTAAATGGTTTAAATTTAATGCATTTATGAAAATTACGATATTCTCCATTCTAATATGTAATATTTAAGTAATAATGTTAGGAGAAGGAACACGAAATATTTTTTTCTCATTTTATCGAAAGAAATCTTAATATTTTCTTATATTTGAATAAAATTTTGTTTTTTAAAATGAGAAATATATCAATTTTGATATAATCTTATGATTTGGATATTTATAAATTATTTTATGAAGCTATGATAAACCCAATGTGACATTTTTGCTTAAGTACTGATAAACATTTTTTTATTTATCAAGGGTAATGTGGAACACAGTGTGGAATTTCTCTTTAAAATCCTATACTTAGTTGTTATTTATACTCGTCTTTTACATGGTTGAAATGAGCTTGTCCTTCAAAAAGGCCAAAAATGAGTTCATTAAAACTTAACCCTCGTATAAAACCTTATTTGAAAAAATAATGAGCAAAAGAAAAAAAAAAATGAGAAAATGTCTTTTTTTCAACTTAAAGAAAATAAAAACAAATTTTATTGGATAGTTATCGATTGTTATTATTTAAAATAATTGTATTATTGGTAAGGAACTTCGAAATTGATGTTTTTCCATGTCATTCAACCGTATCAATAAGACAAGAAAAATTATAAAACGATATCTTTGGTAGTTGCAATCTCTCCTCGTTGTTAAGTGTCCTATATATAGGTTCTTCTTAAATTCTTCAAAAATAAAAAAAAGTGTTTTTATTTAAAAATTTAGTGCGTTTTAATAGAAATCGAGTTCCACTTTTGCTTTTGGTCTGCTTATTGCCAAAAACTCACAATTATTATGTCATGCATCATTTTAAGATTTTAAATTTTTTTAATCCAATCAACAAAATAATTTAATTATTTGAATATAGCACATCAATATACTAAATTTTCAGTTAGTTCAATCATAGGAAAATAATTCTATATACTCCCAAACATTCGTATATATTTCATGATTCTAACCCTAATGATTTAAAGATGTTGAAATAGAAATATATTATTCATTTCACAGATTAATTAATTAAATTTTTAAAAGCATTTAATTATTTTAATATCTTTTTTGGTTAATTGTTTTTGATTTTCGCTGAAGATGTTTTCTTAAGCAGTGTAAATTAAAAATTTCACTTAAATTAAATTATTAATCCATGAAATACACACAGTCCAATATTATAATGATTACACGTGTTAGATTATGTTAAAATTTTTAAAAAGTAGAGAAAGAGAGCTATTACGATACTAATTCAAGCTGTTGTTGTCGTGTGTTTTTTATCTTGGGGGTACATATGAAATACAAGTGGAGTAATGAGTGAATATTTACGTCGCACTGTTCATCTACACGAGGGCTTTTGGCGACGGACCACGTAATTTTGAACCATGGTCAAATGACGTGGACGACACCTGAGCTGGCACCCCCTCTTCTAACTACCACACCACACCAACGGGAGGACGTTTCAGCTCTCGACAGATTTAACGTGCATCGCTGCCCTACACGGCGGGTCTTTAGTCTTACTGGGATCGAACTCATGACATGCCTGCCGTGATACGATACCTTGACCACTGGGCTACCGCAGCCCTAAAATACAAGTGGAAGAACAAAGACATACAATACAAACAGAAAAATATAGGCTTTGTTACAGATGATGATCCCAGCGTATAAAAAGAAGGGATGCGCTGCTTTTTATTCGAGACGGGAGTCCATTGCAGGCGAAAGTCCGACTTCTTTTCCCGAAGAAAATACAACCATGCCTTACTCGGGATTCGAACCCGAACCCACTCGGTTATAAGCCGAGGGTTACATCCACCATACTGGCTGGGCAACTATATAGTAATTCATAAATATGCATTTTGTAAATATTTGATATGTTAGAATAAAATACGATCTTAATGAGAAAAATGCCTTATTGCTCCAGAAATTAAGGATAAAGTCTTGAAGCACATGAAATGTATTAAAATAAATTATGTTTATATTAATCAATAGACTATAACAATCTATCACAATATAAACAGAAAAGGTCAAATAAAAATTCATTTTGGATTACATGTCCATAAATTTCAAATATACATCCTTATATCACAAAAATTTCAACGAAATGCTAATAACAGTCACTGACCACTTACGTTATTCTTTAGGACACGTTTGTCACTAGAACAGTGGATCTCAAACTGTGGGGCGCGCCCCCCTAGGGGGCTTGTTAATCCCACCGTGGAGGGGGGGGGGGCACGAGCATATCAAAAAGTCTAAAATAAAAGATAATTTTACAAATTATTAATTTACTGAAAGGAAGCAAAACAGACTACATTATGATATAATAAAAAAAATTACGCTGATATAAAAGTATCAGAAGTGCACAATGTATTTGATAATTAATTTATCCATAGTAAATTAAGAACAAGTTTAATAAGTATTAGAGTTGGGAAAATGGTGATAGAGCATAGGAAATACTTTTGTTTCAATGCAGAAAATTCAACATCTACCCCTGCCCAAAATTCAAAGAATGATTTATTACTAAACTACCTTTTTATTTCGACACTTGCTCTGAAATCTTTGAAGATTTCTTCTTCGGTTATTGAGACCTTTCTGTATCAAGGTACCTGTGTATTTGGTAACTTCTTCAATTAAAAAAATATTTTGCAATTTGTTCCAATTTAAAAAAAATTAGCAAGGGGAAGTAACATGATATACTTATCGGTTACTTGAAAATATATATATAACACTTACGTAATATATATATATATATATATATATATATATTACATATATGTAACATACGAAATTTGATATTTATCTTGATAATTTACCCGATTTATAATTAAGGTCGTTTTTAAGATAAAACGTAAAAGTACATTATTACATGTAATACATTGTTATTGTATAAGGGGGGAGGGCGATGAAAATTATGATTGAAGATTGGGTTGCACATATTGAAAGTTTGAGAAGCACTGCACTAGAATGTATTGGAACTGAGTCATTTTCCTGTTTAAAACCTCAATTCCCACTCGGCTGGTAGCCGAAGTAGAATTCAATGATAGTCGAGAATTTGTGGCCAGCATTGTCCAGGCCCGGGTTCGAGTCCTAATGCTACAGAAGACTTACTATGAAGAGGGGTTGATGCACGTCAAATTTATCGAGGTTCAAAGTCCTCACGTTAGAGTGGTGGGAAATTTTGGAGAGTGTGATGTGCCCTTTCAGGTACAGTTTTCATCACTTAACAGAGATTCGTCGTTTCAAAGTTCGACGTTTAACACTCATCTTACATGTCTAGCTTATTTTCGAATTGCCTCTGAATAATTCAAACACCTCCTTAGCTAGGTATGGTTAAAACACTTTTCTCCATTTAAATTTGTATGGATACTGTAGACAGTCAAACATCATAAAAAATCGAAAATCTAGTTTAAAAGAATGCATAAGAAATATTTTCGATTAATACTTATGTTTTAAAAATTTCATTGTTTAACATTACATTTAGAGTATAAAACAATCAATATTGCTGCGTTAATTTTTTTTCTTTTTTTACTATTGGAATTCACTGGAGTTCACTATTTTACTATTGATATTCGCAATTGGTTATTCACCATTTCCTAATACTGAAATCTTATAAACATAAGTACAAGCATATACTCTCTCTCGCCTTAACAGATACATAGGAATAAATTTAACAATTAATTTGAGTGGCAATAAAGACAGAATTTTATAAATTATAATATTATTAATTTCGTATTAATTTTTCATTAATGCCATAAATGAGAAAAACAACTTTCTCAAGCTAATAATAATAATAAAGCTATAAAAGAATATTTTTAAAAAATTTGGGTATTCGAGTTGAATTGGTGCAAATATAGTTTTGAAAGGGATGTAATATATTTCTTTGTTTAAATTTTATAAGTTTAAATAATTAAGTAAGTATTTAGTAATGTTTAATAACCGTAAATAAAGTGTCAGAATTTTTTAAATCATTCATTGTAAAATGTGTAGATCTGTGTTACAGTAAATATACTTTTATTTCTTTATTTATTCATAAACATACAAATTTTCCTATGGTAATTTAATTCAATGGGGTATATTTAACGATAATGTCAACAATTTTTACTAGTAATTTACTTGTTTTACACATTGCTTCATCTCATACAGTTGTGTTTTTTCAATCTTTTAAAATACAACGATTGTTATCGGAAGGCTTAGTTTCGAAGGCAGTCGATAGATGGCAGTGATATATATTCATAGCAAAGATTTTTGAGAGAGAGAAATTGTTTTTTTTTTGTTATACAAAATAGAGCGTTGAAGACCTTTTTTATATATGGCAGCAGTGAGCCTGAGCACACATTATAAATGATCGAATAGAGTAAAATATTTGTAAAAAGTAAATTTTCATAGAAATTTTTAATATAATTCCCACTATTTATCAGAGAACACTAACTCTATTAATGTTTTTGTTTAATTATTTGCATTAACAATTAGTCATTTTTTATTATGTAACATTTCTATAGCAGTGAATGCCTTACTAAATTCAAAATAAAGTTAACTACAAGATCAGAATAGTCTGGGGGGAAATATTATGATAGTTTAAATTTAGCGTATTTATTTTAAGACACATAAGAAAAATATACATGTAAAATATTCAGGATTTTCTTAAACACTATGAATATATACAGAAGTTTGTACAAACAATTTCTTGATTAAGAGCACAAGGTAATAGCATGAATTTTGATATTATTTAGTTGTCTCAATATTGATATTTTATCTTACTATCTATAAAATTAAAAATTAAGTATGTGCACAGGAATTGACTGGAAAAAAAATGAAATGAAAGTTAGGCATTTGAATACAAATTATCTGAGTTCGTTGGATTATACCTAATTTAAAATATTCAAGAGAAATTAAAAAGATTTCTAGCGTTAGTATACATAAAAAATGTCTGTGATTCTAAATTAAAATTTTGTGAGTAAATTCAAATTTTATCTAGATTTCTGTACATACAACTAGATACTACATTGCAGAAGAAGAAAAAAATAAATTCAATTGTAATCCTATGGACATAGTAATCTGATGATGATCTACTTTATTATCGAACTAATTATTGTTTCATTTTCAGTTAAATTCATAATTGTTCATTTTTCAAATGTTTTCTTTTAACATACATAGTATGAAACTTTTCAATTAATTTTAAAGGAGAAATGAATGCAGTATTTGTCTGTTTCTCTCAGGTAAAATTTTTAAAAATATGTAATTCAAATAATTTTTTCTAATTTTTCTTAAATTTTCAAGTAGGTCGATTGTAGATATTTTTAATTTAATAACTCAGTTAAAAACATTACTTTATTATAGTAAAATTAAAATTAAAACAGCATAGCATGCATGCACTAGTACTATTTCTTTTTGAGCAAATAAAAAACCACATTTTGTTATTTTCCTTACATCCCTTAGAATCCCTGCAACCCCAAACCTTGAGTGACACCATGTACGTATTTGGGCTTGGGGCCCAAAACATGACTTTGCAGGGGGCCCTAATTTTCTGAGTTACGCCATTACTTTACTCCTAATATAAAATAAATATTTATTGATCTTTATTTATTATTTAATTTTAATTTGTCTGCTATGTTTAACGATAAAAATGTTTTGTCTTATATATATGTGTGCTTTCTTAATCAATAAAATAGTGTTCACTTACTTTTGTAAGCCTTGAGCTAAACTGCATTGCACAGCTGGTCTTTTAAATGACCTTTGAACAACAGCGAAATAAATAAAACAAATGTACAGCAATAAGTCATTCTTTTTTATTAAAAGTAAGCATCTCGTTAATATACTCTATTATATTCTATAATTTTAATTGGGTTCAGTTCCGAAATGAGAGTTTATATTATTACATTACGTCTTTCTCTAAAGAAAAACTTTTTTAATAGTATCTGAAGAGAGTAAATAAATTAAAAAAAAATTACCCACAAACTGATTTCTGGTTTCTTCCTTTTCTGTTAAGGATTTTACAAAACTTTTGGAAGCAATACAACTCCTTTCATGCAAATTTGACGCTTGTATCATCCCTCCTTCATTATGTTGCAAAGGTTAATCTAATAATTGGATAATTTTAGTAATTAATTTAATAATATTACAAAAAACACATGGATTTAAAACACTGATCATATTCGTTTTTTTTTTTTAATATTTGAAAATATATTGTGCCGCTTTCCAAATCTTCTCGAATAAATTCTACTTATTTCACCGTAGTGGCATATGCAAATGTCGATACCTTTTAACAATATTTACTAAAAATCTTCAATTACTCATGAAATAGAAAATATACTGCAAATAATTTCTAAAGTAAAAAAAAAAAAGTGATTATTTTGTTAATTTTGTCAAGAAAAAGTGACACTTTTGCTAATTTTGTAATATTGAATAATTATTTCAAAAATATTGTTTAACTCTTGAATGCACTTTGTGCATCATCTCACTGAATATTCTTTGTACATCCATTGGCCGTTTTATTATGATCACCTCGCTAATTTGCGTCCTTAATATAGCTTTGAGTCTTTTTGGCATGGATTCTGCGAGCTGTGGATATGTTGCTTGAAAACTCTGAGATCATGCTTGAATAGAACTTTCCAAAAGGATGGTCTTGAATGATTTTCTTAGATGTTGGATGGCTGCTTCAATTTCATCTTAAAAAGGCCTATAGAACTGAGATCTAGGGATTCTGGGTGCCAACTAAATAAATTTAAACCTCCGTCATGTTCCTCAAAACAACTCTGTACAAAAACGGAACTATGGCAGGACATATTATCTGATAAAAATTAACCACATTGCCATTGGGTTATTATGCCAAT